TTGGGTACGTACATACCATCACACTTCCCATTCTGATGATTATCCACTAGGGTAAAAGCTGGACAGGCATCTTAGACAACAGTAAGTTAGAAGAGGTGCCATCATATACCCAAGGTAATAGGTGCTGTACTAAGGGTTAGTTTGCCTCTGTGGTTCTGGAGCTAGCCCTCCCCCAGCCTTGCCTTCCCACATGAGCACAGCGAGGACAGTAAGAATCCTCAGGAGGCAAGGTTTAGTTTACAATGAGCATGGTGACCATTGGTATCAAGAACAGATTTCTTCAGACAATCACTGTGACCCAGAACATCTCTTATCTAACAGTCCTTCTTCTATTCTGAGCATAACCAAAAAGTCAAATTGATTTTATCCAAATAGGAAACGCACAAATGAAAAGCCAGGTCCTAGGCTGGAAGAACTGGGAAGGCAAACAAGAAAAGTCTTGGTTTGTGAAGCTTAGTAGGAGGGTACTTGTCTTTAGTGCACAGGCCTTGGATTCCATCACCAGCACTGACACACACACACACACACACACACACACACACACACACACACACACACTTTTAATCCTCCCTATACCTACTTTGGGAGTAACACAAACAGATATGAAACAAAGTATATTTATGAGGCCACAAACAGCTTGAGTCAAGGACAATGAGCTGGAAGTCCTGGTCCAAAGGCACAGATTCCATAAGAGTTGTAGAAGCTGGCCAGTGGTAGCACACACCTTTGATCCCAGCACTCAGGAGGCAGAGGCAGACATATCTCTGTGAGTTCAAGGCCAACCTGGCCTACAGAGTAAGTTTTAGAACAGCCAGGGCTATACCGAGACACTATCTTGAAAAACCAGAAAGAGAGAGATGTGGTAGTGTTTGTACCAAGTAGCCAGGAGGCCTGATGAAGCCATGTATAGGGATGAAAATCCTAACCAGGCTCCCAATACTTGGGGCCTGTGTGCCTAGTGATCTGCAAAACCAACTTTACATAACAGGCCTTTGTGTTGTTCATATAAAGGAAGGAAGAAGCAATGGGAATGGACTCAGGGTCTGGTTGGGGCTGAGCTTTCCTAGGGGACATAGCAGGGAATAGTGAGAGGAAACAAGCTCACCATCCCTAGTCATTTAGGAGAACATGGCAACAAAAGCAACATCAGACAAACCCTTTGTCTGCATTATACACTTTCCCCTTATTTACAATATATTTTGGAGGATAAAAAAGAAATGAGTAGTACTAATTGTTTTCTGTTTATTAGATTCAGGGTAGCTTGAGGGCCAGAGGGGTAAGGGAACTTCCCTAAGTAGCCTTTAAGGCTTTGAAATTTGCAATTTGAATCATATGCATAGATCACCTATTCAAAAAAGAAAAAAGAAAAAAAGAGAGAGAGTGTGTGAGAGAGAGAGCTAGGAAGGGCCAGCAAGATAGCTCAATGAATGAAGACGCTTGCTGCCAAGCCTGACAACCTGAGTTCAATTCACAGGACCCACATAGTGAAAGAAGTGAAGGGACTTTGCTTGAGACGTCTTGTGACCTCCACAAGCCTACTGTTGCACGAGCGTACATACATAAATAATAATAATAAATTGTTAAAACGTAATTTTTTAAAAAGCCAGGCAAACTTTAAATGCTTTCAAGCATGTCCACAGTTTTCAATAACCTTCACAAGCAGGTGAGTGGTCAGTCATTAGTCCCATTTCAGAGATGAAGAAGCCTGAGGCTCCAAGAGAGAACTGCAATTGCATTGACAGAAGTAAGACCCAAGCCTAAGAGTTCTTATTCAGACCCTCCAATCAGAAAGACAAGCTGCATTCAGATTCACATGCTACACCCAGTCCTCAGACCTATAGTCAAACACATCCAGGACACCTCAAATGCCCGTTTTAAAACTTGTGTGATCTGACTGGGTTTGTTTGTTTTAATTTACTGTATGGCTATATATGAAGTGTGTGTCAAACATGCACACATATACAAAGGTACACACATGCCAAGACATGTGTGTGGAGGTCAGGGGTCAACTTTCAGGCGTCAGTTCTCACCTTTCACCCTGGGTTCCAGGATCAAACTTAAGCAGCAAGGACTTTCACATGCTGAGTCATCTGACCACCCCCAAGTGGGGCTATCTCAGTGTCCCTATTAGCTGATAAACACCCTGAAATATTCTGGTGCCAACTCTTATTACTGAAAACATGCATAAGATTCCTAAGTATAAAAACTGGTTGTGGTAGTACACACCTGTGGTCCCAGCACTTGGGAAGTAGAGGCAAGAGGATCACAAGTTCAAGGGTATCCTCGCCTACATAGTGATTTTTTTGTTTGTTTTTCGAGACAGGGTTTCTCTGTATTGCTTTGGAGGCTGTCCTTGAACTAGCTTTTGTAGACCAGGCTGGTCTCGAACTCACAGAGATCAGCCTGCCTCTGCCTCCTGAGTGCTGGGATTAAAGGTATGTACCACTAACCCCCGGCTCTACACAGTGACTTTTGAGGCCAGCCTAGACTACATGAAGCTCTGTCTTGCAAAAAACAGAGAGAGAGGGGGCCCAAAAGCATACTCTGTTCTTAGTGAGTACGGTGCATCATCATTAGAACTTCAAGGCCACCTTTCCAGGTGCAGAAAGAAATCAGTGAAGAAGCACGTACCCAGAAGCCAGTCAAATCCAGAGTTCAAGTCCTGGTTTTTTCCCCTGATTTATAAAAGACCTGGGGTAAGCCAGCTACTTCACTTTTCTTGGCTTCAGCTTCCTCTATAAATATTAACCAGTAAACAGGCATATACTGGACAGCATGTATCTGACACTGGCCAGCTGGATCTCTGTGTCCTTAAGGAGCTTATCTTCAACAGGAAGAGACAAACAACCCAGGTAAGCTCATGTCTAGGTGAGCGCTATGAGCACATAGACAGCAGGGGAAAAGACCTGAGAGGTCAAGGGAGGGCTCTGTGGGAAAGCAGGGTTCGTGGGAGAACCAGGTAATAGAATATCAGTTACACAGGGATCTAAGGACACGGTATGACAAGGCGTGGATGAAAAGGTGGTAAGGCAGGAACAATCTTGGCATATCTACAGAAGAGGGCTAAAGAGGTCAGAGAACAGAGTTGGAGACAGTGCAGTGGTTGTAAAGGGAAATGAGCATAGAAAAAAAGAACTCCATTGAATCTGTTATTTTCAAATTTCCATTTTAGCAGAAGTCTCTAAACAAGTAAGCAAAACTGAAACACAGAACTGAATAAAAAATGGCTTTGCTCTGAAAACAAACACAAAACTGAATAAAATGGTTTTGCTCTGACCTGTTGCCTTCTTGGCCTTCCCAACTCACTTCAGATGGCTGCAACAGCAGGTGGCCTGTCTCTAAGAATTCCTTACCCTCTTACAAAGCCCAGATCAGGTGGGAGACAGGCTTACTGGTAGAGCTTATACACTGAGCCCTAAGATCAACCCCCAGCACAGCACAAAAAAAAAAAAAAAAAATTAAGAGTGACAATGACTTCCAGTCTATAGAACAGCTGCCTCACAATAGCTTCTAGAAAGGACAACCAACATACATACACAGCTCTGCCATTGACAGGCCCACAAGGCTGCCTTCTGAAGTTATCATAAGAAAAGGAAATAAGAAACTGCACTGTGCTGTATTGCATAACCTAAGCTTGAGTGCATAGTCCACCCAGGGCTGCACTAGGGGACGGGTTATCTCCACAGGTAAACAGGAATAATGCCCCCTCTTTGACCAATCTGCACCCGGATCCACACACACCAGACTCAGGCCAACAGCTTTCCAAAAGAGAACTATATTCCTTCTGTTTCTATTTTCACATTGCACTTTGTTGACTGCTGGCATTATCAAAGGTTGACCATGAATACACTCCACCCATGTCAGCCCTTACCTGGCCACCTGCTCCAAAGGGATGGTCCAGAACAACCATAGCTGCCTGCCTGCACCTGGCCCTTTTCCACCTCACAGAAACCAAAATATACTGATTGACTTGCTTTTTTTTTTTTTTCCCCTACACGATGGGACATGAGAGAGGCAACACCCAGAAATTATCCCAACTTTATAGAAACAAAGAGCTAAGTATCCCAGCCAAGGGCAACAGAGGGCAGGCCTACAGCCACCCAAATAAACAGAGCCACAGCAGCGACAGAGTCAAGAGACTCCCATCCCTGGGCTTCACTTCCTGAAAACACAGGGCAGCCCCCACCCAGTACTCTTTAAAGCAAAGATCCTTGTGAAGTTGAAACCAGGAAAAAACGGCAAAAGACTTCGGTGGGGTGCAAGCTGGGAAAGTTACTGTCAGCAAGAACAATGCTGTGTCTTGTCCAGGATGCTACTGTTAGAGAGGGCAGACACCTAGGTTAAGAAACTGATTTCATTCATCACAAATATTATTTATCAAATCATTGCCAGGACATTGTGGCAACCACATCCTGCTGTTTCTGCTGGGGTCATTGCCAAAGTTTGGTTCTCTCCCCCACCTTCCGGTATCTGTAAAGTTTTCGGTTTCTATCAAACCCCATCTGGGGAGGCCCCCCACCCCCACCCCGTGCTGGCCCTAGTGGAGTTGAGTTCCACCACCAGGTCTATAAAAGAGACTGCAGGGAGGCGTGGCCAGGGAGGAAATTCTGACAAAAACTTTTGGCCCTCCGGTCCTAGCTGCCACTACTTCCTGGTCCCTCCTGGTCACGGGGATGTCGTTATCTGGCTGAGTGCTCCCCAGAGAGCCGCGCAGAGGAGGGTCTGTCCCGGCATGCGCGGCGCTCACGGAACGGGCCGCAGGTTGCCTTTCGCCGCAAGTTATTTCGGAGGGCCCCCGGGCCGAGAGCGGAGGAGGAGGGCAGGTTCCTCCTCCACGCTCTGGCCGCCTACTGTCAGCAGAGCCCAAGGCGGTGCTTTCCGACCCGAACTCAGAGCGGACGGACATCAAGGCCCAGGCCGGCTCCGAAAGAAGGGGAAGCTGAAGGACTGTCCAGGAACCACCCGCCAAGAGCAAAGCAGCGGGCCGCGCCGCCTCCCACCTTGACCCGCTTGCCCTGGATCTCCAGCGTCTTCATGGTGAAGTCGACACCGATGGTGCTGCCCTGACGCGCGGAAAAGACGCCGGTCTTGAAGCGCTGCACCACGCACGTCTTGCCCACGCTCGCGTCGCCCACCAACACCAGCTTGAACAGGAAATCGTAGTGCTCGTCCTGATCCCCCGGGCCAGGACCCGCCATGTCTCCGAGGGAGACCTGGGACGCAGGGGTCCGGCTTGGGCTCACGACAGCCACAGGCCGAGGTCCGTGCGCCCCAGCCGCCCGGCCGCCTGACTACGTGGAGCCTCCGCAGCACCTGAACGAGCGGCGCGGACCGATCGACGGCCCCGCCCCGGAGCCCCGCGGACTCGGCTCCGCCCGGGAGCGCAGCGCCCGGCCCTCCCGCAGAGCTCTCGGCCAGCCGTCGGTGCTGCGCCGGCCCAGGACTACCTCAGGCCCGCTCGTGCGCCGCCTTCAGGGCGGGGCGTACCTCCCTGCTTCCCCAGCACCGCCCATCTTCGGCCGCTCGATGTCTGGGTCCCGCCCCCAGCACCGCCCAGATGCACCCTTCCTTAGCCTACGCCTCCTATCCTGTCAGTACAGTACCGACCCTCCCTCAGCACCACCCTTTCTAAGCGTCTCACCTCCCCGGCCCTTCCCGGAGCAGCAACCCGCGCCACACCACGGCCACCGCCCCCGACCCTTCTGTCAACATCACCCTAACCTCGCCCTCAGCACCATTCTTTCTCACTTCTCAGCATCTCAGTAACTGGGGCTCAAGCATCGTGCGGATCCGCTGTCAACACCTCCCTGAGCCTCCTCCACTTGGTCCTGACCCCGCCCTCAGCACCTCTTACCCCGCCTTAGCTGGTGATCCCGAGCCCGCCTTAGCTTGGACCTCGCCTTCGGCACTGCATCCAAGACGGAAATCCGCCCACACCTCTTCATAGCCCTCAAACTAACTCCTTCCTAATTCCTTTCATCGCAGATCTCAGACCCACCTCAGTCTGCTGCGACCCCCTCATAGCCTTCCGCCCCACAACCGCCCTATAACCTGCCCACCTCAGCCCAGAAAAAACTGTACTGGCCCTGTACTGGCCCGCCTCCGTCCCTCGCCTGGCTTGCACCAACCAAGTCAGGAGCATGCAAGAGGCCTCGATAGGATAGTGCTGGGGCAGGGGACAGTCAACTGACGATGAAGAGCTGGTCAAGCAGAACCCACCTCAATGTTCCCACTTCTGAGATGTGAAAGCCCTGGTAACACACATCAAAGGCAGCTTCCATTAGGTCAAAAATGAAGACAAGAGGAAAGGAAATTTTTTGAAGGTAGAATGACCCAGAGTCCCATTAGGAGGAATGATAGGCCAGACATGAGTCCAGCCAAATTTGGACTCCCTGGGAATATAGTCCAGATCCCTGCCCCTGAGAGGTACAAGGAAAACGTGTGAGCCAGCCAGCTCCTAAGTTTGGCCTGGGAAACAGAGGTCAAAGAAACAGACCCAGATGTCTGTAAGCAGTTTGAACTAGATCAAATAGGCCCTACCCCTAAAGATGAGAGAAAACAGAATGTCTGAGCCTCTTGAGATAACCCTTAAGCCTTCTGATGCTATTTAATTCAATAGATTTCATTAATGGTTGTGGCAGGGCCCTCGAACTATTCTAGTGCCTTGAGATCCATCCATGAACAAAATGCAAAATCTAAACCCTCCCCGGTAGGGAAGGGAAGAGGACCTCCCAAACCTAAGGAGACTACAGAGAGCAAGCCCATAGGCACCATCACCGCAGGTTCCATGACCAGGCTCACCGGCCAAGAAGATGAAAAGGCAAAGGCTGACCCATGGAGAAAGCAGAAGAGATGTTCACTCTGAGAACTCCATCCTTGTGAGAAATGCACAGCAGTTCCAGCCAGGAATCCCTAAAATGCCACTGAAAAGAACTTCCTGGTAGAGACCTACAGCCTCAAGAAACTGCCTCCATGCAATATGTAAACTGAACCAGAGTGGTGCCCTCCGTGAAGATGGCTCTGAAGTGGGGAGTACTCCTCAGCTGGGCCTAACTCAGAGTGAATGGAAAGGGGAGTTTTCAAGAGACAGGCAAGCATGGGAAAGAGGGACTGGCCTCTACTCTGCCCATCCCTAGCTGGAGCTAGTCTTGGGAAGGTATTTTGGTCTGTATCTGGGTTGTGTCAGCAAAAGCCAACCCATTACCTTTATTTATGGAGTACCAAGACTTTTTAAATTGGACTATGAACCCAGGTATGGTGGTGAACACCTGTAATCCCAGCTCATGGAAGACTGAGACAGGAGGATTGCCTTGAGTGTCATTTAGGGATATACAGAAGACACTGTCTCAAAAAAATTCAAAAACAAACAAATAAAAACACTGTGCCTATGGGTGAGGGACACATGACTCAGGAAATGTATTAAAATCATTAAAATGGGGGAATGGGGGTTGAAGAGATAGACTAGAGATAAAATGCCTGCTGGGAAAGCATGAGAACCAGAATTTGGATTTCCAATGTTAGTGTAAAATGTCAGGTGATGTGCATAACTGTAACTACGGAGCTAAGCAGAGCAGACACAGATGGATCTTGGAGGCCTGGCCAGCTAGCCTAGCCAAAATGGCAAGCTCCAAGTTCAAATGAGAGTTTGTCCTCCTCCCCCTCTCCTCCCCCCCCCCCCCCCCCGTTTTTTCGAGACAAGGTTTCTCTGTGTAGCTTTGGCTGTCCTTGGAGCTCACTCTGTAGACCAGGCTGACCTCAAATTCAGAGATAACACCTGCCTCTGCCTACTGAGTGCTGGGATTAAAGGTGTACATGACCACTGCCCTTCTGACAGTCTTTAAAACAAAAACAAACAAACAAACAAAAAATGGAGAAAAATAGAGGACACCCAACATCAATCACTGACCTCTACCTATTAATCCATACATACACAGGCACAGGCACCTCCCCAACACACACACATACATGCACATATACCACACCCAACACACACCAAAAGGAGAAGAAAAAAAAAAACCACTAAAATGTACACTTTCGAGGAGAATATTCTTTTGTTGTTGTTTTATTTTTTTGAGACAGAGTTCTCTATGTAGCTTTGCAGCCTGTTCTGGAACTCACTCTGTAGACCAGACTGGCCTCAAAATGAGAGATCCTCCTGCCTCTGCCTCCCCAGTGCTGGGATTAAAGGCATGTGCCACCCCACTGCCAGCCCAGCTCAGCTCTGGGAGAGTATTCTATGCTGTGTAAATCACATTTTACCAATCTGCACTTCCTTTCTTTTGGCAGTAACTTTTTTAAAAGTACAGTGGCATATTTTTTTTAAAATGCATTATGCTCATTTGAGATGGGACAATTCAAATTATACTCAATAAACTACTTTTCCTATAAAAATATTAAGTCCTATTTCAAATGCAAATTTTGAAATAAAGCATACCTCAAACTTAAGTAACCCAAAGATTTAAAGATCTTATTTTTTATTTGTGTGTATGTCTGGATGTCACATGTGTGCAGGTGCTTGCAGAGGCCAGAAGAGGGAACTGGATACCACAGAGTCACTTATGACTCTGAACCATAACCACAGACTCAGATCCTCTGTAAGTTACTCAATGGCTCTTAACCACTGAGCCATATCTCAAGTACTACACTAGACTTTTTTTGTTTTGTTTTTCGAGACAGGATTTCTCTGTATTGTTTTGGAGCCTTTCCTGGAACTCACTCTGTAGACCAGGCTGGCCTCAAACTCACAGAGATCTGCCTGCATCTGCCTCCCGAGTGCTGGGATTAAAGGTGTGCACCACCAACACCCGGGAGAACTTTTTTTTTTAACATAAGATTTAATTAGCCAGGAAGTAGTGAAGCACACCTCAGAACTAGAGTTACAAGTAGTTATGAGCTACCCTATGTGGGTGGTGGGAACTAAACCCAGGTCCTCTGCAATGACAACATTGAGCCATCTTTCCAGGCCTCTGGATTTAAAGCAACTTAGTGGTGGGTGAGCTGAATGGATATTAATAGTCACTGTCACATGGTGACATCATCGTAGCTGATAAATAGCAGATATCCCATAATCACCATTCTGTGTGTTTCAGAGCTTCCCCCACCCTATCCCCAGTGGCTAAAAAGACAATTGTGCCCTCTTCCTTCTTTTCCTTGTTTCTTTTGTGTCTTTTTTCTCTCTAAACTTATCTTAAAATACATAACAACACTCTAACTTCCCTTATGTGTCACCAAAGCTAATCCAAAAAATAAGCCCCCAATCAAAAATAGACCTGGAAAAAAATTAGCACAAAGATGTCAAATACCAACCATGATATCCTATGTTCTTAATACAGGAGTCAGGCAGCACAGCCATGACTTGATGCGCCTCCAACAAGGCCACTTACAGCAACACAGCTCTGCCATCCTCCATGATGTTGCTCCCACGGGCAAACTCTTCCTAGCCCCTAAAGAGCCTACATTCTTTCCATGGAACAAGCTTCTCCAAACCAAGGGCCCTTGTTCCCTCAGCCTGGGTTGGATCCCTGCCACTTACTATGCCACTGGCCATCCAGATGCTCCCACCATCCTCAGAACAGGAAGCCTGCAGCTCACACTGCTCAGGCTTAAGAGACCTTGCAAGAGGTTCCCGTTAGGTAGCAAAGACTCAGCTCAGAGTAGAGCTTTGGATTCAGTTACTTAGGGTGTATAATGTGTACCCACAAAGGCCAGCACATAGCCATTCTCAGCTGTAAATAATCTGACTGTATGCCCATGCCAGGTGGAGCCTTGGGATCTGTATGATGCCTGGCACCACAATCATTCTACACGACTCCCCACCACCCCCTGCAGTGTTCCGTGCCTTCCATGACTGACGTCGCACCATCTCAGCCTACTTACACCACAGGATAAGGTCCAAGCACAGACCTTATTAAAAATTTTAATAAAAGCAGCTTTCTCTGAAACAAGTTATAATAGTAAAGTTGCAAACTTAGAATTCCTGTCCACAAGACAGGAGAGGGAAAAGCGGTCACACAGAGGGGACCGTGACAAAGTGAAGCAGTGCCCAGCACAAGGGGGCGTCTCTACTGCTGACAGTGGAGTCCCATCTCAGGGCAGACACACCATCTTCCAGAGAACATGTCTCTGGATTTGAATATGATTTGAATAAGAAGCATTCATTTTTAATACTGGTTACTAATTAATCCTTCTCTCTTCCCAAAATCATAGTACAAGGCAGAACTTTCAGACAGAGTTGATTTTACACATTCCAAAATAAAAATAAATGGATCCATATGGTAGCAAAAGGTATCTGTAAAAGGTGATGGTTAGTCTTCGGCATCCTGACAGCTTACTGGAAAGTCAGGAACAGGACCTTACCATCAGGCCAGCTCACATATCCAGAAAAGGAGGGAGAAGAGATGAAGGATGAGAAAGGCACAGGGCCCCCAGCACTTAGCCAGCCTAGCAACAACCTAGGGT